CCAATGTCCTCCTCTACCTCCTCCTCTTCTTCCTGTCCTGCCCCCACAGGGGTCATGTGGCGTTGAGATCTGTGCGCCACGTCTACCGCACCTGACCAGCCATTGTTAACAGCAGCATTTGTTCCAGGACGTGCAACAGAGGAATGACGTCGTTCATCCCATAGTCCTGCCGACTCACGAATAGCGTGGCCTCCTCAAAGGGCCTGAGCAAGCGCAGGTGTCACGCATGAGCTGCCAATGGCTGACATCTAAGTTACACAGGGAGTACCTTTATCCGCTTTTAACATCAGGAAATCTGTGATGGCCTTTCGCTGTTCGTAAAGTAAAGGCGGTCTCTAACATATGTAGGGTTGAATTCCACCTTGTTGCAACGTCACAGCATGAGGAGTCGGTACGGGGGCCCATGGCAGATTACGTGCCTGGCAGCAGCAATGGGAGGCCCGTAATCTGCCAGCACCCTATGTCAAAAAATTCAACACACCAGCAGTGTGAGGAGACCTGAAAGTGGCACATGGCAGAGTGTGGCGATGGAGACAGCAGCAATGGGAGGCCGTACAGGGACCCATGAGAGACTCTGGACCTGGCAGCAGCATGAGGAGGCGGTATATAGGGGCCCATGGCAGATTAGGGGCCTGGCAGCAGCTATGGGAGGCCCGTAATCTGCCAGCACCCTATGTCAAAAAATTCAACACACCAGCAGCAGTGTGAGGAGACCTGAAAGTGGCACATGGCAGAGTGTGTGGCGATGGAGACAGCAGCAATGGGAGGCCGTACAGGGACCCATGAGAGACTCTGGACCTGGCAGCAGCAGCATGAGGAGGCGGTATATAGGGGCCATGGCAGATTAGGGGCCTGGCAGCAGCTATGGGAGGCCCGTAATCTGCCAGCACCCTATGTCAAAAAAATTCAACACACAGCAGCAGTGTGAGGAGACCTGAAAGTGGCACATGGCAGAGTGTGGCGATGGGAGACAGCAGCAATGGGAGGCCGTACAGGGACCCATGAGAGACTCTGGACCTGGCAGCAGCATGAGGAGGCGGTATATATAGGGGCCTATGGCAGATTAGGGGCTGGCCTGGCAGCAGCTATGGGAGGCCCGTAATCTGCCAGCACCCTATGTCAAAAAATTCAACACACCAGCAGCAGTGTGAGGAGACCTGAAAGTGGCACATGGCAGAGTGTGGCGATGGAGACAGCAGCAATGGGGAGGCCGTACAGGGACCCATGAGAGACTCTGGACCTGGCAGCAGCATGAGGAGGCGGTATATAGGGGCCTATGGCAGATTAGGGGCCTGGCAGCAGCTATATGGGAGCCCGTAATCTGCCAGCACCCTATGTCAAAAAAATTCTACACACACCAGCAGTGTGTGAGGAGACCTGAAAGTGGCACATGGCAGAGTGTGGCGATGGTGGCATGGAGACAGCAGCAATGGGAGGCCGTACAGGGACCCATGAGAGACTCTGGACCTGGCAGCAGCATGAGGAGGCGGTATATAGGGGCCCATGGCAGATTAGGGGCCTGGCAGCAGCTATGGGAGGCCCGTAATCTGCCAGCACCCTATGTCAAAAAAAAATTCTACACACCAGCAGTGTGTGAGGAGACCTGAAAGTGGCACATGGCAGAGTGTGATGGATGGAGACAGCAGCAATGGGAGGCCGTACAGGGACCCATGAGAGACTCTGGACCTGGCAGCAGCATGAGGAGGTAGGGGGTATATAGGGGCCCATGGCAGATTAGGGGCCTGGCAGCAGCTATGGGAGGCCCGTAATCTGCCAGCACCCTATGTCAAAAAAATTAACACACACCAGCAGTGTGTGAGGAGACCTGAAAGTGGCACATGGCAGAGTGTGGCGATGGAGACAGCAGCAATGGGAGGCCGTACAGGGACCCCCATGAGAGACTCTGGACCTGGCAGCAGCATGAGGAGGCGGTATATAGGGGCCTATGGCAGATTAGGGGCCTGGCAGCAGCTATGGGAGGCCCGTAATCTGCCAGCACCCTATGTCAAAAAATTCACACACACCAGCAGTGTGTGAGGAGACCTGAAAGTGGCACATGGCAGAGTGTGGCGATGGAGACAGCAGCAATGGGAGGCCGTACAGGGACCATGATGAGAGACTCTGGACCTGGCAGCAGCATGAGGAGGCGGGTATATAGGGGCCTATGGCAGATTTAGGGGCCTGGCAGCAGCTATGGGAGGCCCGTAATCTGCCAGCACCCTATGTCAAAAAATTAACACACCAGCAGTGTGTGAGGAGACCTGAAAGTGGCACATGGCAGAGTGTGGCGATGGAGACAGCAGCAATGGGAGGGCCGTACAGGGACCCATGAGAGGACTCTGGACCTGGCAGCAGCAGCATGAGGAGGCGGTATATAGGGGCCCATGGCAGATTAGGGGCCTGGCAGCAGCTATGGGAGGCCCGTAATCTGCCAGCACCCTATGTCAAAAAATTCTACACACCAGCAGTGTGTGAGGAGACCTGAAAGTGGCACATGGCAGAGTGTGGCGATGGAGACAGCAGCAATGGGAGGCCGTACAGGGGACCACCCATGAGAGACTCTGACCTGGCAGCAGCATGAGGAGGCGGTATATAGGGGCCCATGGCAGATTAGGGGCCTGGCAGCAGCTATGGGAGGCCCGTAATCTGCCAGCACCCCCTATGTCAAAAAAAATTCTACACACCAGCAGTGTGTGAGGAGACCTGAAAGTGGCACATGGCAGAGTGTGGCGATGGAGACAGCAGCAATGGGAGGCCGTACAGGGACCCATGAGAGACTCTGGACCTGGCAGCAGCATGAGGAGGCGGTATATAGGGGCCTATGGCAGATTAGGGGCCTGGCAGCAGCTATGGGAGGCCCGTAATCTGCCAGCACCCTATGTCAAAAAATTTAACACACACCAGCAGTGTGAGGAGACCTGAAAGTGGCACATGGCAGAGTGTGGCGATGAGACAGCAGCAATGGGTACAGGGACCATGAGAGACTCTGGAGCAGCAGCATGAGGAGGCGGTATATAGGGGCCCATGGCAGATTAGGGGCCTGGCAGCAGCTATGGGAGGCCCGTAATCTGCCAGCACCCTATGTCAAAAAATTCTACACACCAGCAGTGTGTGAGGAGACCTGAAAGTGGCACATGGCATGTGGGATGAGACACAGCAATGGGACCTACAGGGCAGCAGCATGGCAGCAGGAGGCGGTATATAGGGGCCCATGGCAGATTAGGGGCCTGGCAGCAGCTATGGGAGGCCCGTAATCTGCCAGCACCCTATGTCAAAAAATTCTACACACACACAGTGTGTGTGTGAGGAGACCTGAAAGTGGCACATGGCAGAGTGTGGCGATGGAGACAGCAGCAATGGGAGGCCGTACAGGGACCCATGAGAGACTCTGGACCTGGCAGCAGCAGCATGAGGAGGCGGGTATAGGGGCCCATGGCAGATTAGGGGCCTGGCAGCAGCTATGGGAGGCCCGTAATCTGCCAGCACCCTATGTCAAAAAATTCTACACACCAGCAGTGTGTGAGGAGACCTGAAAGTGGCACATGGCAGAGTGTGGCGATGGAGACAGCAGCAATGGGAGGCCGTACAGGGACCCATGAGAGACTCTGGACCTGGCAGCAGCATGAGGAGGCGGTATATAGGGGCCTATGGCAGATTAGGGGCCTGGCAGCAGCATATGGGAGGCCCGTAATCTGCCAGCACCCTATGTCAAAAAATTCTACACACCAGCAGTGTGTGAGGAGACCTGAAAGTGGCACATGGCAGAGTGTGGCGATGGAGACAGCAGCAATGGGAGGCCGTACAGGGACCCATGAGAGACTCTGGACCTGGCAGCAGCATGAGGAGGCGGTATATAGGGGCCCATGGCAGATTAGGGGCCTGGCAGCAGCTATGGGAGGCCCGTAATCTGCCAGCACCCTATGTCAAAAAAATTCTACACACCAGCAGTGTGTGAGGAGACCTGAAAGTGGCACATGGCAGAGTGTGGCGATGGAGACAGCAGCAATGGGAGGCCGTACAGGGACCCATGAGAGACTCTGGACCTGGCAGCAGCATGAGGAGGCGGTATATAGGGGGCCTATGGCAGATTAGGGGCCTGGCAGCAGCTATGGGAGGCCCGTAATCTGCCAGCACCCTATGTCAAAAAATTGGAACACACCAGCAGTGTGTGTGAGGAGACCTGAAAGTGGCACATGGCAGAGTGTGGCGATGGAGACAGCAGCAATGGGAGGCCGTACAGGGACCCAGCAGACTCTGGACCTGGCAGCAGCATGGATATAGGGGCCCATGGCAGATTAGGGGCCTGGCAGCAGCTATGGGAGGCCCGTAATCTGCCAGCACCCTATGTCAAAAAAATTCTACACACAGCAGCAGTGTGTGAGGAGACCTGAAAGTGGCACATGGCAGAGTGTGGCGATGGAGACAGCAGCAATGGGAGCCGTACAGGGACCCATGAGAGACTCTGGACCTGGCAGCAGCATGAGGAGGCGGGTATATAGGGGCCATGGCAGATTAGGGGCCTGGCAGCAGCTATGGGAGGCCCGTAATCTGCCAGCACCCTATGTCAAAAAAAAATTGGAACACACACCAGCAGTGTGAGGAGACCTGAAAGTGGCACATGGCAGAGTGTGGCGATGGAGACAGCAGCAATGGGAGGCCGTACAGGGACCCATGAGAGACTCTGGACCTGGCAGCAGCATGAGGAGGCGGTATATAGGGGCCTATGGCAGATTAGGGGCCTGGCAGCAGCTATGGGAGGCCCGTAATCTGCCAGCACCCTATGTCAAAAAATTCACACACACACCAGCAGTGTGTGAGGAGACCTGAAAGTGGCACATGGCAGAGTGTGGCGATGGAGACAGCAGCAATGGGAGGCCGTACAGGGACCCATGAGAGACTCTGGACCTGGCAGCAGCATGAGGAGGCGGTATATAGGGGCCCATGGCAGATTAGGGGCCTGGCAGCAGCTATGGGAGGCCCGTAATCTGCCAGCACCCTATGTCAAAAAATTCTACACACCAGCAGTGTGTGAGGAGACCTGAAAGTGGCACATGGCAGAGTGTGGCGATGGAGACAGCAGCAATGGGAGGCCGTACAGGGACCCATGAGAGACTCTGGACCTGGCAGCAGCATGAGGAGAGGAGGCGGTATATAGGGGCCTATGGCAGATTAGGGGCCTGGCAGCAGCTATGGGAGGCCCGTAATCTGCCAGCACCCTATGTCAAAAAAATTCTACACACCAGCAGTGTGTGAGGAGACCTGAAAGTGGCACATGGCAGAGTGTGGCGATGGAGACAGCAGCAATGGGAGGCCGGCCGTACAGGGACCCATGCAGACTCTGGACCTGGGCAGCATGAGGAGGAGGGTATATAGGGGCCCTATGGCAGATTAGGGGCCTGGCAGCAGCTATGGGAGGCCCGTAATCTGCCAGCACCCTATGTCAAAAAATTCAACACACCAGCAGTGTGTGAGGAGACCTCAAAGTGGCACATGTTTGAGGCATGATTCATGGCGGATTTAGTCAGTTGTGTCAGGAACTGGTGGTTTGAAATCCAGACTAATCCACGCCTGATTCATTTTCACAAACGTGAGTCTCTCCACACTTTGGGTGGACAGTCGTGTCCTCCGCGGAGTTACAATACCTCCTGCCGCACTAAAACACGCGCTCCGATGCCACGCTACTGGCCGGGCATGACAGCCTTTCAAGGGCAAATTCAGCTAGTTGGGGCCAAAGGTCAAGTTTCGTTGACCAGTAGTCAAGGGGATTGTCTACCTCGGTTGGCAGGGTGCTGTCCAAGTAGGCCCAAGCCTGTTGTTTGAGGTCCTGCTCCAGGTCCACCTGATGCTGCTGCTGCTGCTGCTGCTGCGGCTGGTTAGTAGTTTCCTCACTGCTGCTGGTGAAGAAAGCTACTCATCATCGACTGCAGACTGAGGCAGCCGCTGCTGGTGGAGGTGGCTGCCACTGCTCCTACCACCCCCCCACCCCTCCCCTGCTGCCATGGCAGCGGAACGCGAGCGCACAGGGCCCCCACAGTGTCTGAGGATGGACGTTGGCGCACAAAGGCAGAGACCAACTGACTACATAGGTGGTTTTTATAGTACGTTATTTTGGCCTCCCTCTCAGCAGGTGTGAAAAAAAGGCCACCATTTTTGAACGGTAGCGAGGGTCCAACAAGGTGGACAGCCAAAAGTCATCCCTCTGTCTGATGGTTATTATTCGGCTGTCGCTACGCAAGCAACCGAGCATGCTATGGGCCATTTGTGCCAAGGAATGCGAGGGACTCCCTGCCTCCATCTCCACAGCATACTGCCACGGTGCGTCTGGGTCCTCTGTCTCCCTCCTCTCCTCCTCTACCAGATGCTCCTGCTCCTCCACTCCTGTCCGCTGAGTGGAAAAAAAACCACCCATTTCACTCAATAATTCCTGAGCACAAATGTCCTCCTCCTCTCCTCCTCCTTCTTCCTGTCCTGCCCCCACAGGGGTCATGTGGCGTTGAGATCTGTGCGCCACGTCTACCGCACCCTGACCAGCCATTGTTAACAGCATTTGTTCAAGGACGTGCAACAGAGGAATGACGTCGTTCATCCCATAGTCCTGCCGACTCACGAATAGCGTGGCCTCCTCAAAGGGCCTGAGCAAGCGGCAGGTGTCGCATGAGCTGCCAATGGCTGACATCGAAGTTACACAGGGGAGTACCTTTATCCGCTTGTAACATCAGGAAATCGGTGATGGCCTTTCGCTGCTCGTAAAAGGCGGCGGTCTAACATGTGTAGGGTTGAATTCCACCTTGTTGCAACGTCGCAGATCAGGCGATGATGTGGAATTCCGTTCTTCTGCCGCTGCAGCTCAAGGAGGGTGTGCTTTGCGGTGTAGGAATGGCTGAAATGCATGCAAAGTTTACGTGACATTTTAAGGATGTCTTGCAGTGGGATGGTGGATTTTAGGAACCGCTTGACAACCAGATTGAACACGTGAGCCATGCATGGCGCATGGCACAACCTTCCTTGACGCAGAGCAGACACCATGTTCTTTCCGTTGTCGGTCAACATGGTTCCGATTTTCAGTTTGCGCGGAGACAGCCATCTGTCGATTTCTCTGTTCATTACACTCAGAAGTTCCTCCCCTGTGTGTGACTACGTTCGCCTGGACCTGGCAGCAGCATGAGGAGGCGGCCTGGCAGGTATAGGGGCCCATGGCAGATTAGGGGCCTGGCAGCAGCTATAGGAGGCCCGTAATCTATGCTGCCAGCACCCTATGTCAAAAAATTCAACACACCAGCAGTGTGTGAGGAGACCTGAAGTGTGGCGATGGTGGCACATGGCATGAGAGACTCTGGACCTGGCAGCAGCATGAGGAGGCGGTATAGGGGCCCATGGCAGATTAGGGGCCTGGCAGCAGCTATGGGAGGCCCGTAATCTGCCAGCACCCTATGTCAAAAAATTCAACACACCAGCAGTGTGTGAGGAGACCTGAAAGTGGCACACATGGCAGAGTGTGGCGATGGAGACAGCAGCAATGGGAGGCCGTACAGGGACCCATGACAGACTCTGGACCTGGCAGCAGCATGAGGAGGCGGTATATAGGGGCCCATGGCAGATTAGGGGCCTGGCAGCAGCTATGGGAGGCCGTAATCTGCCAGCACCCTATGTCAAAAAAATTCAACACACCAGCAGTGTGAGGAGACCTGAAAGTGGCACATGGCATGTGTGGCTGATGGAGACAGCTGCAATGGGAGGCCGTACAGGCATGAGGACTCTGGGCATGAGGAGGCGGTATATAGGGGCCCATGGCAGATTAGGGCCTGGCAGCAGCTATGGGAGGCCCCCGTAATCTGCCAGCACCCTATGTCAAAAAATTCAACACACCAGCAGTGTGTGAGGAGACCTGAAAGTGGCACATGGCAGAGTGTGGCGATGGAGACAGCAGCAATGGGAGGCCGTACAGGGACCCATGACAGACTCTGGACCTGGCAGCAGCATGAGGAGGCGGTATATAGGGGCCCATGGCAGATTAGGGGCCTGGCAGCAGCTATGGGAGGCCCGTAATCTGCCAGCACCCTATGTCAAAAAATTCAACACACACCAGCAGTGTGAGGAGACCTGAAAGTGGCACATGGCAGAGTGGCGATGGAGACACAGCAATGGACCGTACAGGGCAGAGCATGGACTGGCAGCATGCAGGCGGTATAGGGGCCCATGGCAGATTAGGGGCCTGGCAGCAGCTATGGGAGGCCCGTAATCTGCCAGCACCCTATGTCAAAAAATTCAACACACCAGCAGTGTGTGAGGAGACCTGAAAGTGGCACATGGCAGAGTGTGGCGATGGAGACAGCAGCATGGGAGGCCGCCGTACAGGGACCCATGAGAGACTTTGGACTTGGCAGCAGCATGAGGAGGCGGTATATAGGGGCCCATGGCAGATTAGGGGCCTGGCAGCAGCTATGGGAGGCCCGTAATCTGCCAGCACCCTATGTCAAAAAATTCAACACACCAGCAGTGTGAGGAGACCTGAAAGTGGAAAGTGGCACATGCAGCATGAGAGACTGTGGACCTGGCAGCAGCATGGAGGAGGCGGTATAGGGGCCCATGGCAGATTAGGGGCCTGGCAGCAGCTATGGGAGGCCCGTAATCTGCCAGCACCCTATGTCAAAAAATTCAACACACCAGCAGTGTGTGAGGAGACCTGAAAGTGGCACATGGCAGAGTGTGGCGATGGAGACAACCCACCGACTGTTTTGCTCGCTGCCAAGCTGCCACCCTCTTCTCCTGATGATGCGGAAGCAATAGCCTGATGACGACGAGGCTGCCAAGTGCGATCAGCCTCATCATCATCAATTAGGGTCTCTCCGCCTCACTACTAGCCCCCTCGGCTGCGTGTGGGTCAGGAGACAGACCTGTCTCTACACCGGCTACCGAGCCACTCTCCTCGCCACTACTTCTTCGCCTGGCTGCTGAAGAGGCGGATGTCTCCCCCCGTTCCTGACCGCCCTCTGTTAGCTCTTCCTCACTGTACTGGATGACACCGGGAGCACTAGCCTCTGGCTGCGAATAGTGCTGCCTCGACCCCTTCCTCTGCTGCCACGTCTGCTCGCTCCTAAAACATTGCCTCCTCTGCCACTCCTCTGCATGTTGTCTGACATACTCTTTAATTAAACGATTCTGTGTCCCTGAGTAACAATTCTGTGGCCCTAACCCTGAGGTTCTGTGGCCCTAAGTAACAGTTCTGTGGCCCTCAGTAAGTTCTGTGTCCCTGAGTGTAACAATTCTGTGTCTGTGGCTCAGTAACAATTCTGTGCCCTAAGTAACAGTTCTGTGGCCCTCAGTAACAATTCTGTGTGTCCTGTAACAAGCTGATAACAATTTCTGTGTCTGTGTGCGAGTAACAATTCTGTGGCCCTAAGTAACAGTTTCTGGCCCTCAGTAACAATTCTCTGAGTAACAATTCTGTGCCCTGAGTAACGTTTCTGTGGCCCCAAGTAACAGTTCTGTGGCCCTCAGTAACAATTCTGTGTCTGTGCTGAGTAACAATTCTGTGTCTGTGCGAGTAACAATTCTGTGGCCCCTAAGTAACAGTTCTGTGGCCCTCAGTAACAATTCTGTGTCCCTCAGTATTAACAATTCTTCTGTGTCCCCAAGTAACAATTCTGTGTCTGCCCTCAGTAACAATTCTGTGTCTGTGCGAGTAACAATTCTGTGTGTCTGTGCGAGTAACAATTCTGTGGCCCTAAGTAACAATTCTGTGGCCCTAAGTAACAGTTCTGTGGCCCTCAGTAACAGTTCTGTGTCCTGAGTAACAATTCTGTGTCTGTGGCCCTAAGTAACAATTCTGTGGCCCTAAGTAACAGTTCTGTGGCCCTGTGCCGAGTAACAATTCTGTGTCCCCTGAGTAACGTTCTGTTCTGTGTAACAGTTCCCCCTCAGTAAACAGTTCTGTGGCCCTCAGTAACAATTCTGTGTCTCCCTGAGTAACAATTCTGTGTCCCTGTGCGAGTAACAATTCTGTGGCCCTAAGTAACAGTTCTGTGGCCCTCAGTAACAGTTCTGTGTCCCTGAGTAACAATTCTGTGTCTGTGCGAGAGTAACAATTCTGTGGCCCTAAGTAACAGTTCTGTGGCCCTCAGTAACAATTCTGTGTCCCTGAGTTAACGTTTCTGTGGCCCCAAGTAACAGTTCTGTGGCCCTCAGTAACAATTCTGTGTGGCCCTGTGCGAGTAACAATTCTGTGTCTGTGCGAGTAACAATTCTGTGGCCCTAAGTAACAGTTCTGTGGCCCTCAGTAACAATTCTGTGTCCCTGAGTAACGTTTCTGTGGCCCCAAGTAACAGTTCTGTGGCCCTCAGTAACAATTCTGTGTGTCTGTGCAGTAAAATTCAATCTGTGCGAGTAACAATTGTGTCTGTGCGAGTAACAATTCTGTGGCCCTAATAAGTAACAGTTCTGTGGCCCTCAGTAACAGTTCTCTGTGAGTAACCTGAGTAACAATTCTGTGTCTGTGCGAGTAACAATTCTGTGGCCCCCTAAGTAACAGTTCTGTGGCCCTCAGTAACAATTCTGTGTCCCTGATTAACGTTTCTGTGGCCCCAAGTAACAGTTCTGTGGCCCTCAGTAACAATTCTGTGTCTGTGCGAGTAACAATTCTGTGTCTGTGCGAGTAACAATTCTGTGGCCCTAAGTAACAGGTTCTGTGGCCCTCAGTAACAGTTCTGTGTCCCTGAGTAACAATTCTGTGTCTGTGCGAGCGAGTAACAATTCTGTGGCCCTAAGTAACAGTTCTGTGGCCCTCAGTAACAATTCTGTGTCCCTGAGTAACGTTTCTGTGGCCCTAAGTAACAGTTCTGTGGCCCTCAGTAACAATTCTGTGTAACTGTGCGAGTAACAATTCTGTGGCCCTAAGTAACAGTTCTGTGGCCCTCAGTAAAAATTCTGTGTCCCTGAGTAACGTTTCTGTGGCCCCAAGTAACAGTTCTGTGGCCCTCAGTAACAATTCTGTGTCTGTGCGAGTAACAATTCTGTGTGTCTGTGCCTTAGAGTAACAATTCTGTGGCCCTAGTAACAGTTCTGTGGCCCCTAAGTAACAGTTCTGTGCCCTGAGTAACAATTCTGTGTCTGTGCGAGTAACAATTCTGTGTCTGTGCGAGTAACAATTCTGTGGCCCTAAGTAACAGTTCTGTGGCCCTCAGTAACAGTTCTGTGTCCTGAGTGAGTAACAATTCTGTGTCTGTGCCAAGAGTAACAATTCTGTGTCTGGCCCGAGTAACAATTCTGTGTCTGTGCGAGTAAAATTCTGTGTCTGTGCGAGTAGTAACAATTCTGTGGCCCTAAGTAACGGTTCTGTGGCCCTCAGTAACAGTTCTGTGTCCCTGTGTAACAATTCTGTGTCTGTGCGAGTAACATTTCTGTGGCCCTAAGTAACAGTTCTGTGGCCCTCAGTAACAATTCTGTGTCTGTGCGAGTAACAATTCTGTGTGTCTGTGCGAGTAACAATTCTGTGGCCCTAAGTAACAGTTCTGTGGCCCTCAGTAACAATTCTGTGTCCCTGATTAACGTTTCTGTGGCCCCAAGTAACAGTTCTGTGGCCCTCAGTAACAATTCTGTGTCTGTGCGAGTAACAATTCTGTGTGTCTGTGAGAGTAACAATTCTGTGGCCCTAAGTAACAGTTCTGTGGCCCTCAGTAACAATTCTGTGTCCCTGATTAACGTTTCTGTGGCCCCAAGTAACAGTTCTGTGGCCCTCAGTAACAATTCTGTGTCTGTGCGAGTAACAATTCTGTGTCTGTGCGAGAGTAACAATTCTGTGGCCCTAAGTAACAGTTCTGTGGCCCTAAGTAACAGTTTCTGTGTCCCTGAGTAACAATTCTGTGTCTGTGCGAGTAAGAATTCTGTGTCTGTGCGAGTAACAATTCTGTGGCCCTAAGTAACAGTTCTGTGGCCCTCAGTAACAGTTCTGTGTCCCTGAGTAACAATTCTGTGTCTGTGCGAGTAACAATTCTGTGTCTGTGCGAGTAACAATTCTGTGTCTGTGCGAGTAACAATTCTGTGTCTGTGCGAGTAACAATTCTGTGTCTGTGCGAGTAACAATTCTGTGGCCCTAAGTAACGGTTCTGTGGCCCTCAGTAACAGTTCTGTGTCCCTGTGTAACAATTCTGTGTCTGTGCGAGTAACAATTCTGTGGCCCTAAGTAACAGTTCTGTGGCCCTCAGTAACAATTCTGTGTCCTGATTAACGTTTCTGTGGCCCCAAGTAACAGTTCTGTGGCCCTCAGTAACAATTCTGTGTCTGTGCGAGTAACAATTCTGTGTCTGTGCGAGTAACAATTCTGTGGCCCTAAGTAACAGTTCTGTGGCCCTCAGTAACAATTCTGTGTCTGTGCCCGAGTAACAATTCTGTGTCTGTGCGGTGTAACAATTCTGTGGCCCTAAGTAACAGTTCTGTGGCCCTCAGTAAATGTTCTGTGTCCCTGTGTAACAATTCTGTGTCTGTGCGAGTAACAATTCTGTGGCCCTAAGTAACAGTTCTGTGGCCCTCAGTAACAATTCTGTGTCTGTGCGAGTAACAATTCTGTGTCTGTG